GTGATGATGGTGATGGAGGTGGTGATAATGGTGGTGACGATGATGATGGTGGTGATGATGTTGATGACCGGCGATGACGGTGAGAGTGGTGATGATGACAGTGGTGATGGTGGTGGTAGTGATGGTGGTGATGACAGTGATGATGGTGATGGTGGTGATGATGGTGACAGTGATGAAGATAATGGCGATGGTGGTGGTGCCGGTGGTGTTTGCCTTGGTGAGGTGTGTCTACTTCCAATGAGCCGAATCTCCCTTGGGTGAAGCTCAGTTACTGCAGCATGGGAATCCCCAAGGGTCTGAGGTATCATTTGATGCACTAAAAAGTTCACGGTGTTTTGGGCTGAATTGTGTCTTCCCACCTCTGAAGAATTTCATGTTAAGTCTTAACCACCAGGACCTCAGAATGAGACTGCATTTGGTACAGGGTCTTCAGAGACATGATTAAGGTAAAATGAGGTGGCGGGGGGTTACATAGAGTGTGTGCCTAGCACACATGGGTTCAATCCCCAGACCCTCCATTAAAAATAAATAAATAAAAACCTTATTACCTCCCCCCAGTGCCAAAAAAACCCAAACAACAAAAAAAAAGTCTTTAAAAGGTAAAATGAGACTAGCAAAATGAGTGTGTTCTAGTCCAACAGGAGTCCAAGATGCGATTAGGACACAGACACAGAGGGATGACCACGTGAGGACACAGGGAGGAGAAGGACAGAGGTATCTCAGGAGGAACCAGCCCTGCTGACACCTTGATCTCAGATTCCAGCCTGCAGGACCGTGATTTCTGCTGTTTAAGCTTCCAAATCTGTGATACATGGTTTCTCTAAGCAATCTAACACAACGGGATAAACAAATGGGGTCCACATGCATACGAGGGAATATTACTCAGCCAGGAAAAGGTGTGAAGCTGTGACACAAGCTACAGCGTGGATGGACCTTGAACACAGGATGCTCAGAGAGAGAAGCAGATACAGAAAGACACATGGGGTGTGACTCCATTTATAGGAAACGCCCAGAACAGGCAACTCCATAGACACGTGGATTAGTGGTGCCTGGGGCTGGGGGAGGGGGTGGAGAATCACTCTTTAATGGGTAGAAGATCCCTCTGGGATGACGGAAATGTTTTGCAATTAAGAGTTGGTGGTTGCCCAACATTGTGAACGTGCAGAATGCCACTGAATTGTTGAATATAAAAAAATTTTACATTATGTGAATTTCAATTTTAAAAAAAAGTTTCATGATCAGAGAAAGACAAACACTGTATCATCACTTATCTGTGGGATCGGAAAAAATAAACCAAACTAATGAACTTAACAAAAAGGAAATGGACTCATGGACACAGAGAACAATCTAGTGGTGACCAGTGGGGAGAGGAAAGAGGAGGAGGAGGGTAGGATAGAAGAAGGGGATTGAGAGGTACAAACTACTACATATAAAATAAATAAGCTACTTGCAAATATTCACACTATTGTGATTCTGTAATAATCAGGGAGGGCTAAACGTTCACTATATTAAGACCATGCACGTGTCCCCAGACCTAGCTCTTTTCCTTGGTCTGTTTTCACAAACGCTGGTGATAAACCAGATCTGATTTGTATGATGCATCTTACGTGGCCAATGTCTGTGACACCAGGTTATCAGATCAACCTCGAGCAATGACAGCACAGCTGGTGTGTGACAACTTTTGAAACCACCATTGCTAATGGGATGATTACCAGCTGCCATGAAACGAATCGTAACAAGAAAAAAAAGTTTAAAAACCCTACAAGGATATATTGTACGAGACAAGTTGCCTAGCCAATATTTTATAACCATACGTGGAGTGTAACCTTTGAAAAGTGTGAGTCACTGTGCTGTGCACCTGTAACTTGGGTAACATCATAGAAAAAACGTCTCGACAAGTGTCAGACGTGATGAAGATGGCGGAGGTGGCGCGAAGTGGTGGCAGGTGGCGGGAAGTAGGGAGAGGTGGTGATTAAGGTGCTAGTGATGATGGTGATTGTGCCCACGACGTCTCACAGATACGTCAAACTTAACACGCCCAGGACGGAACACTTGGTGTTTTCCCACCAAAGACGCCTCCACCCCTCCGAGCCCTCCCAAAATAACCCAACGGTACCACCTTTCTGATTCGTTAGCCCCAGAACCTTGGAAGCGGATGGCTGTACTCTGCCCCGCACGCCGTACGTGACCTTGCAAAAGCGAAACTTTATTTCCTGGTACTTCACTGTTCTTCCCAGCAAGAGCCAGCATTTGGACAGTTTCAAAGAAAAGGAAAAGGGGAAATGCTTCTCAATGGTGGCAAAGGTGGTGACACACAGGTGTTTGCCACAAAAAGAAAAACCTGGGGGAACTACCACGAAAGCCCCAGGGGAGTAACTCCCAAAGAGACGGAAGGAGGTTTACTGAGAATTCTGAAGGCGCGTCTCCCAGGAAGAGCTCTGTGCTGACAAGCTTCCAGGGAGCCGGGGCGGGGGTGGTAGCAGAGGGCAATGCTCTGTCATGGGACAGGGGAATGCATCCGCCCTCTGCATCCAGGGACAGAGCCGGCCTCCTTGGTGGGCCCGGGTGGTGGAGGGACCCATCGCAGAGCCAGGTCTGAGAGCAGCATCGAGGCCTCATGTCCCCATCCACATGGGTGCCCCCCAAGTCATCAGGGAGGGTTGTCCCCACACCCAGGGAGGCATTCGGGGAAACCAATTCACGGACGACGCGCTAAGGCCACGGGGAAGTCCGCTCTGCAGTCCTCTCTGGCAGGTGGAGGAGCTTCCTGGGGCTCCGGCTTTGTTGTGGCTTAAAATCACAGGAATTCATCTTCCCCGGAGTCCTGGAGACCTTAAGTCTGAGGTCAAGGTGTGGGCAGGTGGCCGCGCTCCCTCCCGAGGCTCCAGGGTAGGGTCCTTCCTGCGTCTTCCAGCTTCTGGGGGCTCCAGGCGTCCCTGGGCTGGTGGCCGCCTCCCTCCCGTCTTCACGTGGCGTCTCCTCTGTGTCTCTCCTCCTCTGTCTCTTCTAAGGACACTGTCCTTGGATGCAGGGCCACCTCCTCCAGGACGACCTCCTCTCAGGTCCTTCACATCATCATGTCTGCAAACACCTTGTTTCTAAATTAGGTCCCTTCCTGAGGTCCCAAGATGGTATGAATTTTTGAGGGGGCAGGAGACCGGTGTACGGAGACTTCAGCCAACCCAGCACAGCAGGTTGTGTGTGCAAGTGTCTGTGACCCGCCTGCCCACCCCCGTCTCTCTCACTGACTGAATGGCTGTCCTCCCAGTTTGTCCTCATCGGCCCTCTCCCATCCCACACTTTCTTTCCACCAGCCCATTTCCTCCTCTCCTCTTGAGCAGGAACTGTTGTCTCTCCATCTCCTAACCTTCTCTTCCCAAAGTCCCCCCAATCCGTCCCCCTTGGAGATGGAAACTGAAAAGGAAAAGTGCAGAAAATGTCACTGGAACAGGCAAACCTTCGGAGACAGCAGGCAGACGGGGCTTGCCGGCCGCTGGAGCGGTGGGAAACGGGGAATGACTGCTCACAGGTGCGAGGTGTCCGCTGACGGTGACAAAAATGTTCTGGAACCAGGCAGCTGGGCTGGCTGGGCAACTATGAATGCTTGAAATGCCACTGGACGGTCCACTTTCGAATGGTTCCTTCTACGCTGTCTGAATTTCATTTCAATTTTTTTTTTTTTAATGAGGAAGCTCAGCCTGAAGGAACTCTTAATTCCATCTAATTTTCTAAGTCCCTGCAATGCTCTTAAATTGCAACTACCATTCACGGCGCTGAACCCACATCCTCCAAAGCACCCACACGAGATGAATATGCTTAGAAGGCAGGGGCAATTTTCTGGGTATCGCTGAGCAAAAAACATGCCCTTCCAATTGCTTCTGTCCACCCTGTCCCCATGCCAGTCACTCACGTGCACGGCAAAAATGTCACCAGTCCGGATTCCACCCAACCCAGGGGTGTGCGCGGGTGATGCTTGGGGAGGAAATGACAGCCCAGGTGGGAGACAGGGCATAAAAAAAGGGGGGGGGCGATTCTGGGGAACCAAAACTGTAGGAGAGAACCCTACCAGTGTGGAGGAAAAGGACCACCAGAGCTTTCAGACAGAACAGTGTCTGATGAATTATTCATCACGGAAGGTCTTCTAGAGCTTAAAAAACTGCGACTTTCCACTGGTGCAATGTGTGTGATAGTAAACAAAACACAAAATAAAAGTGTCCGGCATGGGCACGTGGTCCGTGGTGAGGCAGTGGGTTTTGTGCCTTGATTTCCGCAGTGATGGCCGCCCAGGATAAGACTGTACAAAACCACACACGTACCCCAACTCCAAAACTCAGAAGTTTCACTGAAAAGTGGGAGCGCTGAACAGGGTCTGTGGTCTCTTAGTAGGATGCTGAGGTCCTGGTAAAAAGATCACGCTACAGTTACGGAGAATGTCAAAAAAATTCATGAAGGATGCCGGACGGACTGCAGGTGAGGGGTTGGGGAACCCCCTGTGCATTTATCTTATTTCAGAACATTTCTTTCTAACAGCACGATCGTGCGTGCTCACGGCCAGAACTCAAGCGCGGTTACACGGACCAGGAACGTGGACAAGGGGGGCTGCAGCCCATTTCCTCTGTCACAGGCGATGTGGCCAAGGAGGTGGAGTGTTTCAACCTATGAAATCACAGTTTAGCCGCGACGGGCCCCAGGGTGCCGTCCATGCTCTTTGAAAAAGACCCATCTTGAGATTTTTCGCCCACACAAGCCGAGCATCCTTCCCAAACTGGATTTGCGGAGAAGCTGTCAATCTAGAAACACAGACCATCTCCCACAGACAGTGTGTGCAGGAACACAGGAGGAGGACACGTGAGACCACACAATCCCCAGCTTGCGTCCTTATTCTGCCTCCAAGGTGTCGTGGTCACCCTGTGAACGTGGCCGTCTTCCCAGCTGGGTCTTGGCTCACGGTGCCTCCTGCCGGGGTCTCGCCATCTGCAAAGCCACCGCCGGTATGATTGCTCCCTCAGGCAGAAGCACACCTGTGTCCACCTGCTGCCTCTGCGCTGAGATGTCGGCGTCACTGCAACCGTCTTTGGGGCATTGTGAGTCAGCAATTCTGTCCCCCAGGGGCCTCCCCCGGGGGGTCCAGCTCACAGCGAAAAGGGAGGAAAGAAAAAAACAAAAAAGCTCACCCACAGGGGTGGAGATCAGAGCAGATAAAAATGCACAACTGTGTGGAGCCAGGACTTAAAACATCCAAAGTGGGGGTGGGGGACAAGCCCAGTCAGCATGGTCCTTCCAGCCTGACTCATTCTGGAAGTGTCTGAGGGGTGGGGACTGTAGAGCATTAAGAAAGGTGGAGAGGTTTGCGAGCAGGGGGTGGGTGGGTGGGTGGTTTGGTGTTTGTTTGGGTTTTGCTTTGTGTGTGGAGAACAGCCTTGCTCAGCTGGAACGCTGCACACAGAACGCCCTCAGGCGATGCAGAGCCGCCGTGGGTGCCTGCCTGCAATGGGGGAGTTAGGAACGGACCGGGGGTGGGGGGCGCCCAGGATCATTTAAAAGGGAACTCAGTCTTCTGAGCTGGAAGCTTAGGATGAAGAGACGTCAAGCCGGGGCTGAGTGGGTTATTATTTGCAGACTGTGTTTAACCTTGCGATCTGAAGTTACTGGTGACTGTGAAAGCTCTGGAGAGTTTGGGAATTTTTTAAAGTTTATTCCCAGTCTCAGATTTATCACGCTCAGATTAATCTTTAATACTGAAGAAAGAGGTTTTGCTGAAAGGTGATAAAAAGTCAACAAAGCTGCAAAGTAACACACACACCACACACACAGACACACACGCACATCTGAGTCCCAGGCCCCTGCTGGTCCAACATCCTGAACATGGGTGACCTGGCTCTCCCTTCTCACCCTTGGGGCCCACAGGAAGTTATCCTTGAGGAACAAGCATCTTCATTAAGAAAGGCAAAGACAACTGCAGAGCTCATTCCTCCCTGCTCCGCACCTCTTGGTCCCCAGGGGGAGTGACAGTCTATTTTTAAGGACAAGACGACTCACCTGGCACCCTATACCCACCTGGCAGATCCCCCACAGGCCCACCCCAGCCGCCCTCAACTCCAGGACTGCAGACCACACGTTGCATCATGTCTCCAGCCACCTCCCCGCCACACACACCTCCCCGGGCCCCGCCCAGTGCCCCGGCACCTTTCACAAGAGACCTGCCTAAGTGGCCCGAGGAGAGACAGTTGCTGGAGCCGTGCGCCAAGGGCTGGCAGGTCCTGCAGTGACTTTCCACTGTTGGCTTGTGTTTCCACCTATCGGTGTGACTGCACGGGTCTGGGTTACTGCCCCTACTCTGCGGCCCTGCCAAACACAGCCAGCTTTTACATCAGCCCAGCCCAGCGTCCCACAGGGAGGGAGAGGCAGACGAAGAAAGAGACCAAGAAAAAGAAAGGCGGAGAGAAAGAGAAGATGCAGACGTTGGGAGGGGTCCCTGGTGACCCCTTCCTCACCAGCAAGAGAAAACCAAAGGAAAACAGAAGGCTTCAATGCCACTCTGGCGGTGCCTCTCCGTCTTATTAAAACCAAGCCACTACCTTGAGCCCAGTGCTTTCTCCTTTCCAAAGGAGGAGGACGAGGACCTCAAAAAGTGCCTGAACACCCCTGTCCCATAGTCACACAGGGCGTGCCCCCCTTCCCCATTCACTCTTCCTGACAAGCAGCAGGCTGGCAGAGCCCACTTAGCAACAAGTTGCTAAGAAGCCACAGGCTGGCTGGTGCCGGCAGCCTGAATCCAGCGCCCCCGTGGGGTCGGGATGTTCTGACCCCACTCAGGGCGGGCCCCGTAAACAAACACCTCTTGGGGTCCAGGCGCCCAAGAAACCGGAAAGCTTTACCTCCAGCTGCCTAACAGTGGCTAGGTTCAAAGGCAGACGACAAAAGGAAATGTGTGTCCGAGAAGAGAATGCCAAGTTTCGGGTGCACAGAAGAAAAGCACCGCGGTGTGAAGATACGTGTAATGCACCGCCAACGCTGCCCAGCGCCCCCAAAATGCCACGGGATACCCGAGCCCCAAACCCAGGAGAAGGTCTGAAGTCCACGCGGGCGCATCCTGCCGCCAGGCAGAGGGGGAGGCTGGCCGAGGTGAGGTCTGCCGGTGCCTTCCCGGGAGCCGCCTCCGTCCCTGAGCGTCGCTGCCTGGGGGGCGCGCGAGGTCCCCAATGTGAGTGACCCCCCCAGGAAGTTCTGTGAAGTCGGGGTGCCCAGACACCGGGGTGGCCGGTGAGGGGCGGGCGGGGAGGTTAAGTAAGGACCTCTGGGAGACGCAGGGCGGAGCCCCCGCAGGCGGGGAG